CTATGCCCTATACCTCCCGCCGTGATACCGGAGGCATATAAAACCCGCAGAGGTCAGGAAAAGGCGCGAGTTCACTAGCTACGGCTAGGCACTCGTCTATCCTATTCATTTTTGGAGATTTAGCGTTGACGAAAAATGCTTCGAGTGTTTTCCGCACCGAAATGAGGGGTTCTCGCAACAGAATCCTAACTGTAATTTCGAATACAGCACCTTTATGGGACTCTACTCGGTGAGCACCCAAGGGGGTCTCCACCCTTGCTCGTTTGAAATCCTCCAGAAGTTCCTTGACCCTAACGCACAGAGGTCGCCCAGTCTCCCCTATATATTCTTCCTCTCACAGATTGCATGTGATCAGATAGATCACGCCTGGTGTCACGCAGTCACCCTCCTGTCCATCGGTGCAGATGACGCAATCGGAAATCAGGCAAATTCGATCGTAGCGACGGTTTCGAACCAGCCGCTGCTTAAGATTTTAAGGTGGGATCCCGACCACACGTACCGTGTCCTTTAGGCCACACCTGTGCAGCGCCTTTCTTATTTTACAGCTCACAGCATCACTAATATCCTTGTACTAATATTACTAGCATCACGCTTGTTCCAGATCTTCCCTTTTTCGTTTTCGAAAAGTATGACGTGTTACAGTCTCGTTGAATTATATCATTTCAGATACCCGTGAATGCGGCTTATCCTTTTGGAATTTCGTAAGCAAACCAGTACTCAGTGCTATAAGAAGTCTTCTGGTAGAACATGCTTATCCAAGAACCCGATCCTCAATGGTACTCGATATCCTGTTGATGTAGCCGTCATGTTTTTTCCCTCAAGGTAGAGTGTCGATCTTTGAGCGTCGGCACTCTGGTCACAACACCGGTCGTCGATCTATACCGCACATGTCGGCGGTGCACGATTTCATGATTGGTTGAGTTATTCACTTTTTCCATTTTTTTTTCCGTGTGCGGATCTGATATTTTTCTTCTTTGACTACTATGGTATTTTGCTGCGAAAGTATATCATCGTGAAAGAGCTATACGCAACTCTGCTCGGAAAATAACATGCTTTATTGTGATCAACGTCAGCGGCGACGCATGCTACAACTCGGCATTTGAGCGCTCGACGCTCAACGCTGCACTCCAAAGCGTCAAGCCAACTACCACGGACTGTCAATCTCGCTCGCTTTAGTTCATCACGTGGTCAGGATATCGTTCCTCTCCTTTATTTTTTGATTTTGGAGTATTCTCTATTTCTTCTCATGATCTGGAAAACTCACTGTATTGTTCATCACGTGTGATCTGGAAACCCATCGTATTTATAGGTTTACATCAACACAAGCGTTTGTTCACTTTGTATCCTTGATATTTAATCGATAAATTTTCTTCCTCCGTATCACGAACTTTCCTCCAAAGAAGAACTAACAAACGCTAAGTTTGGCGAGTATCTAGTCAACTATGTTGATTGAAAAATATAGATTTCCGCTGTTCGTAGCTCATATATGAATGCGACGTCGCCGAAAGCGGCTTCTTATTTCCAGCATATTTTCATGTTCGACCTTCTCTCAATTGAGTGCATACCTAGTACCGGCGTTCAGAGGCCGACGGCATCGTAAGAATATCAGGGTGTCTCTCGCATAGCGCATTAAGTGGTAACAACTGGCGTCGAACTATAAATGCGCCCCAACCTTCCCTTTTTCGAGACCGAAGGACTAAAGAATGATCTCTTATCCCTTGGTCGAAAATATTCGATACTTTAAAACAAATGTGAGCATTTTAAGACAGCGCATATTAGAGCATATAAATGCATTAACCTCGAAACTTCATTTTAGAAACTCAAAATCCTATCAAGCACTATGTGATACAAGTAGGAAACAGCTCACCGGAACGCAAGAAGAGTGATAAGGTGCAACAAATGGAGTATGTCACCCAGCTGGCCAGATTGCTTCCTTCTCAAAAAAAGAATCATTGCGAATAGACTTTCCAGTCTGCTTGGTTCTTTGCTGCTCATATCGTATGTACCCGACTGATCAAAAGGAGCTGAAATCAGAAGAAAACTTCACCAGCTCTCACTCTGGACCATAATGGTCTCATTCATACAACTTGCGTTCTAACTCCAACTTGGTCATTGAAATGCAAATATACGCGTACTAACGCTGAAGTCGGCGTTCTTACGTTTTGCTCAAATGCCCGGTTTGACGCTGAAAGACAGGCATTATGAAAGCACTATCAGTTTAGTTTACTCTTCGAATCCGCTCGTCGGAAAATGTTTAAGTGACACCTAATGCAAAAATTAGCCATTACACCATTTATTGTTTCAAATTGCGGGTTGAAACACGCCCGTAAGAGGTGTATACGCAGGCCTTGAGCACTCCAACTTTGCTTATACTGCTTTTACCATAAGAATGACGTATTTAAAGAATCACCTGTATCACCTGTCGTCCCGTTGATCGTTGATTTCCTCGAGCGGGCGCCAGTAACGTCTCCATCCGTCCCTGTCACACGCCAAAGTGGTCCACTCAATGATCTCGCTCCAGGGACCCGAGGCCCAACATTCCTTTCGTTCATAGTTTTCTTGAAGAAGTCTGACTATCTCGTCGGGGGCCGTTCTGTAGATCGTTTGATGTTCCCAGGAATCCAGTCAGTAACCGCCCTGGTCCAACGGTCATCACTATATCGCATAACGTGTCCGGCCCACCTGACCTTCGATTTCTTTGCTTA